CTTCGTAGTCGACTCAAAAGCTTAAGATGCACCAAGATGCACGAGCTTAAGCTTGCACGAACTTAAGATGTACCAAATCTACAGCCCTGGGCAAACTAGGAAACGTTGTTTCCTGCCAATGTTTCGCCATGTTTTCCAAGGTGGACAAACACTAGGAAACAATGTTTCCGCAACAAAAATCGGCGGCGAATCGCACTTGGGAAACATGAAATGTTTCTGAATTTGATAGGAAACATTTCTGCTTCTCGAATCTCGGGAAGCAAATTGTGTTTCTACAACGATATTTCTACGGGTGGCAAACACAGAAACACTTGAGGAAACATGGCGAATCACAATGTTTCCGCAACAATGTTTCCTAGTTTGCCCAAGGCTTACGACGCGGACGTGACATAAAACCCGTTGCTAATGTTTGAAATCCAGTTTTATTGTATGCAGCTTGACTTGTGTCTCTGACTTTGTTTACCAATTCACTTGTGTCTCTGACTTTGTTTATTTTATCCGTGTAGTGAAACTGTGGGAATAGTTACAGTTTTTTCCACGACCGCGTCGTAGATTTGATGCATCTTAAGCTCGCTATTGTCTATAACAGTGGTGGCGCCAAGGAGTGGCTAGGGGGGGGGGCTACAGCCCCCCTGTCGGGGAGCCAAGGAATTCCGAAAAGCACGATCTTGTCGCCATTCTCTTTCATGCAAGGTGCGACTGTAGTACACGTAGTTACGCGCATTTCTTAATATAGTACACGCGTTACGCAAGTTCGCTTCGTACCAGACATTCCAAACATTCTGCTGACGCAATATTGCACATGCATGGGTATTCATTCGGCTGATGCAATGGTATTGCACATGCATGGGTATTGTAAACTGCATGCAACGAAAACTGTTTAGTCACCAATACATAAATATAGGACGCGAAATAACAACATTGTAATTACGTCATTACTTAAATACAGTAAAGATATCTTAGTCTATCTCACTTGGCGCACTCAACGACTTTCTACGTGAAATAAGTGTTCTGCAGAATCAGGGACGCCGGAACTGGGGGGGCAGGGGGGCAGGGGGGGGGCTTCCCCCCTTGCCTTTTGCTAGGGGGGCAGGGAGGCAGAAGTACCCTTTTAGTTGTAAAATACTACGTGATAAATCACATTTCCAACGATGCTTTTTGTAGGAAAATCATGAGATTCAGGTAATTTATAGTTTATATTTCATAAAAATTTTGGAAAATTTTTGGAATTTAGAAAAATATTTTGAAGAAATGGCGAAAATTTAAGATATGCGGAAAAATTTTTGACTTCACGGAAAATTTTGGTATGTCCGGAAAAAATCTAAACACAAAGACCTTCACGCGTCTGGTCGTCAGGCACCTGTAACCGTTGAGTTGGATAAGTCTGATTACTCGTCAGAGTAAACCGTGATCGCCGTCACTTCCACAAACGTCTACGACCGCACCTAAACATTTTTGCATGTTTACAATTCTAATTTTAAACAGCCAATCTGGTTTTTGGTAACAATTACAATTAAGCGTCGATTGGCTGTTTAAAATTAGAATTGTAGGTGCGGTCGTAGATGTTTGTAGGAGTGGCGACGATACGAATTTCCACAGTTCGGTGAGTTCCGCAATACAAGGTGTCCCAAAAACAATGTCCCCTGTCATATTTGGTGGTATTACTTCGCTATATTTAATCAAAGGCTCAATTTTTTGCAGTGGGTTGAAAAACAATCATATTATATTAATCGTAGTATTTATCTCACCAAAAGACTTAACCGTTCGGCTTCTAGAGATACTTAAGGTGGTGACACCAAATTTGCAACCTGAGAAATTAGGTTAAAAGTAATGCGAACTTTGTAGAAGGATTTCTAAAGTTTCTACCCACCTTTCTGCTCAAAAACAAAATGTTTTTTATCTATTACTAAACTTTTGTTTCTTGTAGAAATTAATAATTATCTATTACTAAACTTTTGTTTCTTGTAGAAATTAATAAAAAAAGATAAAAAATCCCTAGCAAATTGACAAATGCTAAGGTTAAGGCTAAGGTTGGGAAAATGCCTATTTTCTGTTTTCCGTTCAATTTGTTCCATGAAAGAGCAAATGTTGGGATTTCAGCACTAGTCTTTCCTCTTTTCTGGGGATTGCTTCATTATTGTTCCAGAAAAATAATTCGCGATTTTGGCTACAATTAATTACAAGTTTTACCATTAAAATATTTTATTACGTTCCGTAATATGTTTAATTAAACCCGTAATACCCACAATCTGGACAAGTGGCAATATTGGTGTCGCCACCTTAACTAACTCTAGAAGGCGAACGGTTAAATATTTTGGTGCGAAAAAATGCAACGATTAACGTAATATGCATGTTCATTGAAAATTTGAATATTCGATTACAGGTAACGTTATAGTACCACAAAATATGACAGGGAACATTGTTTTTGGGACACTCTGTATATTGATTTGTGCATTAATTTTTATAAAGAATGAATCATGCTGGCTCAATTGTAGATTTTAAGTACATAAAATATGTTAGTATATAGTACGCTTAACCGTGAAAAACTTTGCATAGCCCCCCGTCGGGGAACATAGCCCCTCCGACGGGAAATTTCTGGCGTCACCACTGGTCTATAAACAGCACCAAGATGCAAACGGTATATAAGAATGTGTATACACCCGCTAGTAATCGGAAGCCGAGCGGGCGCAAACAGTTTCTCAAATTTCATGTATTTGGACTATTTGGTCATGAAACTTGAAAGAGCCTGAACATATTTCCTGGAGTAAAAAAAAAGGGGGGGGGGAGATGGTTAGCAATGTTTTTTTATATTTTTACGGGTTTTTTTCTAAATTAATAAAACATGAATAGATTCCATGCAGAACAACCTGGGCTCTGGATTCCGGATTCCTCAGCTATTAGGATTCGGATTCCACTGTCTGGATTCCGGATTCCAAGACTCTGGATTCCGGATTCCTAAACCAACAAAAAGTCGGATTCCGGATTCCGGATTACTTCACAAGGGGCGAAATTGACGAAGATCGGAGGTTTCTGATCGAAACGTCTTGTAAAAACTTTTTATAAACGTGATTACGTTTTTTACATAGCTAGTGACAAGAAACTTTTAATCTTTTAATATATATATATATATATATATATATATATATATATATATATATATATATATATATATATATATATATATATATATATATATATATGCAAGCTTTGTTTAGCATATCTATTACTATACAGTTTCGTACCACGTAAATAACGTGGCACTCTTCTGAAGAGTGCCACGTTATTTACGTGGTACGAATCTGTATAGTAATAAATATGCCAAACAAAGCTTGCTAAGTTTTTGTGTCTTTCTATATATATATATATATATCTATATATATATATATATATCTATATATATATTCATATATATATTCATATATATATATATTGAGCGCTCTACAGGATGAGCCATGCCGCTTACGCATTGCGCACGCTCACTGCTCTTGCAGTTTGAGCGCTCTGGCATGGTTTTGATGTCCCACAATCGTGAGGCATCAAAGGTAACTGTAAATAGCAGTTACTTTCATCCTGCTCATCAGCACTACACTGATGAGGCTCATAAGGCCGAAACGGTACCGTCTGTAGTTAGATATCACTCTATGGCCTTTAGGTCATATTGAGCGCTCTACAGGATGAGCCATGCCGCTTACGCATTGCGCACGCTCACTGCTTGCAGTTTGAGCGCTCTGGCATGGTTTTGATATTCCACAATCGTGAGGCATCAAAGGTAACTGTAAATAGCAGTTACTTTCATCCTGCTCATCAGCACCACACTGATGAGGCCCATAAGGCCGAAACGGTACCGTCTGTAGTTAGATATCACTCTATGGCCTTTAGGTCATATTGAGCGCTCTACAGGATGAGCCATGCCGCTTACGCATTGCGCACGCTCACTGCTTGCAGTTTGAGCGCTCTGGCATGGTTTTGATGTCCTACAATCGTGAGGCATCAAAGGTAACTGTAAATAGCAGTTACTTTCATCCTGCTCATCAGCACTATACTGATGAGGCCCATAATGCCGAAACGGTACCGTATATATATATATATATATATATATATATATATATATATATATATATATATATATATATATATATATATATATATATATATATATATATATATATATATATATATATATATATGTATATATATATATATATATATATATACCGGGTGTCCCAAAAAAACTTGCGCTGTTTGATTTAATGTAACATAAAAACTATAAAAGCTATTGCACTCAAATAAGTTATATTGTATTCAGAAAGGGCTAACTTAGATTTTGATATATAATATTTGAATATCTGTGCAATATTTACTGAACTATCGTTGTTTTAAATCGAATAAGAATATTTGACAATGTTACAAATTTACATAAAATTGCTTATCAAATATTATTTGGTTAGAGTTGATTATATAGTTTTAGACTTTGATCTTTTGTTAATCGAGACATATTCGAAAGGCGAACGAGGATTAATCAGTTTTATCAGTAATACGAACTCTCAAAGGACGTCAAATATGTTTTCGAACCGTTTTTAAACTGTTTCATGCTTATTTTGCTTCCCAAGAAACGCGAAAGGTTAATTTATACTAGGTCATTACCCGAAATGAAAGTTGAGTACGTTGAAATGCTGAAATTGAAATTGTTAATTTTTGTGGAAAATGGCAATTTGTTTTCATATAAATTTGATCACCCATGTTTCTCGATTTTTTTACTCATTCAGTTTAAAGCGTGCGCCACATTCAAACGGTTGTATCTCACGTAATCAAATACATGAAATTTTTAGGGCTGTATATCAAAATCTAAGTTAACCTTTCCTCAATCCATAAAACTTATTTGAGTGTAACATCTTTTATAGTTTTTACATTATATGAAACACACCCGAGACACCCGGTATATATATATATATATATATATATATATATATATATATATATATATATATATATATATATATATATATATATATATATATATATATATATATATATA